TTAGACTTCCTGTTTCCTAATCTGTTTTCTCCTTTTCAAAAAACACTCTTGAGGAACTTGAAGTTTTATTCCCGGAAAACATTTGAATATTATAGTCCTTTGCCTTAGTGGGGCTGAGCATTTCCCTGTGCACCTGTACCTGGGACCTGCAGCGGACTCTTGACTCTCTCTTGCCTTTGTGGGGACTGTTTCCCTGTTCACTGTACCCGGGACCTACAGTGGGCTCTGACTTCCTCCAGCCTTTGTAGTGTCTCTCATCCCTGCCTCTTAAGTTGTGGCTGCTGTTTCTCTTACTGGGGTGTTTTTGCCTCCTAAGTAATGGGCCTTTCCTGCCCCAAAGTCCTTGTGAGTCGGATTTCTGGAGGAGTGCACTGACACCCCAGGGTCCTTGAGATGGGCCCACACAGCACCTCCACAGTATGAGCTTTGCAAAAACATACAGTAACACAGATTTTTATTAATTGGTGTGCTGTCTCATTCTCATAAGATAGTAGGGAAAACTATCTTATCTCCTTTATCCTTCAGATTCTGGCCAACACCAGGGAACATTCTGTGACCATTCCAGTCTGCCCTCTGAATTTCTGTAGCATTTACCTAGTTTAGTGCATAATTATTAATTACTCTGAATGCAGGTATCACCAAGACTCTAAGCATCTTTGGAATAAAGACCTGGTCTTTAACTTTGTTTAATCTCTTCAGTAATGGTTACTAACCCGATAAGAGTAGCTTTATAAATAACTTTGCATTCAGTTTAACTGATATGACTGGCTCCTAATTGTTTTTATCACATAGGAAAAGCCTACTGCCAAGCTGAGCACACACTGCAAATTCTTGGAGAGTGTGCTAGGCCTGGCAGGGGTTCTTCTAGCCAGAGCTGAGGGAAAAGCAAAGTCCCTTTCTTCAAAAATTATATGAGGGGACAGCGCCTGTGGTTCAGGGAGTAGGACGCCAGTCCCATATACCAAGGGTGGCAAGTTCGAACCCAGCCCAGGCCAAAAAAAAAAAAAAAACTGCAACAACAACAAAATTATATGAGGGACCAGGCATGGTGGCTCATGCCCAGCACTCTGGGAGATAGATGGCTTAAGCTCAGGAGTTTTGAGACCAGCCTGAGCAAGAGCCAGAACCCATCTCTACTAAAATAGAAAAACTAGCTGGGCATTTTGGCAGGTGCTTGTGGTCCCAGCTATAGAGAGTCTAAAGCAGGAGGACCACTTGAGTCCAGGAGTTTGAGGTTGCTGTGACCTATGATGATGCTACAGCACTCTACTGAGGGTGACAGTGTGAGATTCTGTCTCAGAAAAGAAGTAGTATATGTGTGAACTATTGAATCCCTATTTTCACCTTTTATCTGGTGGTTTTGTTTAATTAGGATAATTTACCATATTGTCACATTGAAAAACACATAACTTTGGTCAAAGACTGATCTTAAGATGTATAGTAAAGTCAGCTATAAGATTAAGAGCCAACTAAATTCTGAAAAGCATTGCTCTTAAGTACAGAATTCTAAAATAACAATATGTTTAGACATGTGTGGCCTTTAGGCAGTCACCCGTTTGTTCCAGCCTTGACCCAATGCCTGCCCTATCCTGTGGGCAGATTGCACAGGTTGGCCCTGCCTCAGACTGAGGCCCAGAGGGGACGGTGCTTGTGGCAGTATTTGGCAAACCATAAGTGTGGGAAGTTATGGTCATGCCCTTAAGAATTTAATCCAGAGGAGTGTGAATCACGAGATTCCCTCTGCCTGTCTTTCCTTTCTGAGATCTAGCTCTGAGACAAAGAGCCCGTGCAGACACTTGACCAGCAGGATGCAGAGAAGCAGTGCAGTCCCCACTGTATGATGATGGGCAGTAAAATAGGAAAGAGGAGAGGTGACTTGGTCACCCTGTCCAGCGGCTAGATGAAGTTTTCTTGTGATGAAAGAAGAAACACAGGGAGATGGAGTATCTATGTTGTGACTCCGAACGGCCTCAATCAAACCAGCACAGATAGGGGAGTAAGGGAGGGCAGTTCCCTGTACTGAAACAAATTAGCTAGGTGACTGCGTTTCCTCTCAGCAGTACTGCATTTTCCCAGTGTAGAGAATAGTCCCCAAAGACACAGTTCTGCCTACTCCTCTTGTCATTTAGGGACCACTTCCTCCAGGAATTTTCTCCTGCCCTTTCCACATGACTTAGGTCTCTTCTGTGTGTCCTTGATGCCCCATTTGTTGGGACAGTTGTCACCCTACCTAAAAGCTGCTGACTGACCTCCCTCATTCCTCTGCTGGACCCTGGGTGGTCAGTGGCAAGGTGGAGTCTTAGCCCTTCCTCCCCCCACCACACCGTGGGAGGCACTGCGTCATTTCTCAGTTCGTTTGTATTGATTGGATTAAACTGATCCCCTCTGGATGCTCCTAAAAGTAACCTAAAAGCAGAACCCTTTCATACTTTGTTGCGATGATCACATTTGCCTTTGCCATCTCAGTGTCTCACTTGGGTGTCCTTTGTGAAGAGAGAAGCATCGAGCATCTCTGTGTACAAACAGACCCCAGTACGTGGGGAAGAAGGGGTGAGGAAGGACAGCCGTGTGACTTTGTCCAGAATGACTTTGGACACTGAGATAAAATGTAGCTGATTTATTTATTGCTTAAATGATTTAATTTAGGACTGCAGTATTGCTGTAGGAACTTTCTCTTTTCAGACAGAGTCTCATTCTATCACCCTGAGTAGAGTGCGGTGGTATCACAGCTTACAACAACATCAAACTCCTGGGCACAAGTGATCCTCTTGCCTCAGCCTTCCAAGTAGCTGGGACTGTAGGTGTCTACCACCAAGCCTGACTAGTTTTTCTATCTTGGGTAGCAACACGGTCTCTTGCTCAAGCTGATTTTGAACTCCTAAGCTCAAAGGATCTATCTGCCTTGGCCATCCAGAGTGCTGGGATTACAGGTGTGAGCCACCTCACCCAGCTGGCAGCGAT